TCTCCTATACTTAACTTAAAATTATCTTCCAACCACCCTTCTCTCCCTGGTATTAGATCATTTAGTTTGCAAATATCTTGCCACCATTTTGACCCTGTACCCTTGCCCTCTTTTACCCAGCTCATCCAATTTCCACCCAGATTCCCATATTTACTTCTAATCACTCCATACCATAAGGAATTTGAATTCCCTGCCAGTTTCGCCCACCACTTGCCCATTAAAGCTGCATTAAAATGCCTAAGGTCCTTTACACCTAGCCCTCCTTCATCCTTTCTTCTACATACCGACTCCCATTTAACCCAATTTATTTTTTTATGCTCTTCCCAACCTCCCCATAGAAATTGCCTTCTAATTTTATCCAAGATAGACAGCGTACCTTTTGGAAGAAGATGAGTTGACATTTGGAACACGGGTAATGAAGATAGCACAGAGTTTATGAGAGTAATCCGACCCCCCATAGATAGTTGCTGGCCTTTCCACCTTGACAGTTGCTTGTGAAAAGACTCTATCAATTCCCTCCAGAATATTCTACTTCGAGGGTTCCCTCCCACCCGAATACCCAGATATTTGAATGGTATTCCACCCTTTTTACAGTTCAGCAAATATGCCATCTTTGCTAACCTTTCCTCCTCCACATTGACTCCCATTAATTGACTCTTTGCATAGTTGATCTTCAATCCAGATGAAAGCTCAAAACTTCTCATGATACATTTTACCGCCCATATATTGTCCTCCGTTGCTAATCCCATTAATAAAGTGTCGTCGGCAAACTGTAGATGGGATATATTTATTTCATTTCCTCCTATTTGAATTCCTTCCAATAGGCCCTTTCTCACTGCCTCCATAATTAAACCATTCAGCCCTTCTGCCACAATCAAAAACAAGAATGGGGATAAAGGATCCCCCTGTCTCAATCCTTTTGACATTCTAAACTGCTTTGATGGGCTTCCATTTACCAGTATAGAGATAGACGCCGATTTCAAGCACTCTTGTATCCAACTTCTCCATTTTTCACCAAAACCCAGTTTTCTCATCATAAAATCTAGGAAACCCCAATTTACATTATCATAAGCCTTCTCAAAATCAGCTTTGAAGACAAAACACTTCTTCTTGCTCTTCTTTGCATCATCCAATACTTCATTTGCAATCACCACCCCATCAGGTAGTTGCCTTCCTGCTATGAAAGCCATTTGTGTCTCCCCAATAACTCCATCCAAGACCTGCCTAAGTCTGTTTGCAAGGAGTTTTGATAGGATTTTGTACATAATCCCAATCAGTGAAATAGGCCTATACTCCTCAATCCTCTCCGGGTTATTTGTTTTGGGTATTAACACCACAAAAGATTCATTTGAGCCTTTCACCAACTTTCCCTTGTCATGAAACTCCTGTATGAACTCTGTGATATCCTTTTTGATAACCTCCCAATTCCTTTTGATGAAATTAAAATTAAATCCGTCCGGACCCGGTGCCTTTGTGCTGTCACAATCCCAGATTGCTAATTTTATTTCCTTCTCAGTGAAAGGAGCAATTAGGAACGGATTCTGAGTCTCCGAAATCATTTTAAACTCCGCCCCCTCAATTTTTGGTCTGCATTGCCATTCCTCCTTAAAAGCCTGTTCAAAGTGTGTTGCAATTTCCCTCTTAATTTCATCCACCTCAGTACACTGTTGTCCCTTTGCTAAGATACTACATATTTCATTCCTTCTCCATCTGCTCTTGATACATTTATGGTAATATGCAGTGTTTGCATCACCCTCCCTTAACCATGATCTCCTCGCTTTTTGGTGGCACATTCTGTTCTTAATCCTCATATTCCTCCACAAATCAACAAAGGTCTCTCTTCTTCTTGCTATCTCCTCCTCTGTAAGCTGTTGGCCCTCCCCTTTAAGATCTAGTCTTGCAATTTGGTCTTCAGCATTTACAATGTTTTTGTCCACCTCATGCTCATACCCCTTGCTCCAGTTTCTTAATGCCCCTTTGAGCTTTTTCAATTTTTCTTTTAAGCAGAATCCCTTCCAACCTTGAACCTCTGCAGACTTCCATGTCTCCTCTACCAATTCCTTAAATCCTGGTCTCTCCATCCATACATCAAAAAATCGAAAGGGTTTAGGACCCCAATCAATTTTTTGATTTTTTAATATCACAGGACAATGATCTGAAATGGTCCTCTTAAGCCCCCATTGTTTTGCATCTTCCCAATTCAATAACCATTCCTCTGAGACTAGAAATCTATCCAATCTGCTCATTGATCCTCCACTTGCATGGTACCAAGTATACTTTCTTCCATTAAGAGGTAGATCAACCAAACCAGAATCACTGATGAATTTCTTGAAATCTCTCATTTCTCTGGCATTTACACTGCTTCCTATTTTCTCCTTCCTCGATTGCACTGCATTGAAATCTCCTGCCACACACCAATTACCCCTGTGCTTAGTGATTAAGTCCAGCAATTCTGCCCAAAGTGCTCTTTTTCCATCCATTTCACATGGAAAATACACATTAACTATATACACTGGTACCTTTTCCTTTCCCCAAAAGCCAAAAATCCCCAAAAAACTACCACCTTCAAACACGCTTACTTTCTGAAAAGTGCTTGGTTCCCATAAACATAGTAGTCCGCCTGATCTCCCATTTGAAGGCTTTGTTATCCACTCCAACTCCCTTTTACCCCACATTGCTCGACATACCCACTCTTCGATTTTCTCCAATTTCGTTTCTTGTAATGCCAAAAACTGCACTTTCTCCTTTTGGACCATCTCCCTAATTCCCCTTCTTTTACCTTCTCCTCCTATACCTCTAGCATTTAGTGACAGCACGATCATTTTGATACAATCACACCTCTCTCACCTTTTGCACTTCCTTGCTCCCCTTGTTGATCTTTGGCATTCTGATCTCTATTCTCCATTCGTTCAATTCTTTGAATTACCTCTTCCTCCTTCTCATCAGCCACCATCCCTATTTTCTTTGCGAACTCCCAGATCTCTATTGCCCCTTTCTTGTTCTGTTGAGCTATGGGATTGCGATTCCTATTAATGATGTCACTGTCTGAAATCGATCCTCCCGCTATTCTGCTCTGAGACCCCTGAAGAAATACTAGGGTTTCCTTTGCTAGTTCGATCTGGTTGCTCCGGCTACTCTTTGTTCTCTTTTTTCTGGTTATCTCCTCACGTACTGCAGACCTTTTATATACCTCCTGGCATGAGATAGTCTTCTTGGACTTCTTCCTTTTTGATTTCCTGTTGCGGTTCACCCATTCAGCTCTCACCATCCAATCGGCTAACCTTCCCGAATCACTGTCCATATCTTCCCAAAAACCTTTTCCTGAATTTTCTATGTCATCCGTTGCATTTCCTGTTCTCGCTTTTCGATTGATCTCGTCAAGCTCGTTTCCATTCTTCTTATCAGGCTCTACATTCTCTATGGCATGATTACCAGCTTGGCCCATGCTGGCTCCTACCCCTGAATCCCCCATTGTCTGGTCTTTTATGAGGCTATCCTTTTCACTTTCGTTTTTGTTGCATGCATTCAGTCTCCCAAGCCCAACTTGCTCATCCTTTTTTGGCCCACTACTCCCTTTCCTTGTTAGCCCATTATCTTCCCCGCCTCTATCCCTTTCTTCCTCTTCATCAGTCCCATCTGTTTCATTTACTCCGCCACCTATTTTGTCTAGGTCTTTCACCATCTTTAAACTTTCTGACACCCTCTCTATAGGTACATCATTTGATTGCATATCTCGAGAGTTATCAGCCTTTACCTTGTCAGCTCTTTTTGTGTCTACATTCAAATTTAAACTTCTCTCTTCCCCGCTTACTTGTTGATTCACCGAAACTTCCTCTTCCCTCCAATGGAAACTTGCCACGTCATCATCTTCAATCTTCCCACCTTCTTCCATCTCTAGCCAATCTTGGTATCTACCATCATCACCTTGGCAGCCCATCTCTTGCTTATAGTCCGAGTCACTACCTAGTGACCAGGACTCGTTTTCCTTTGAGTCATCCTTTTCACTAAAGGCACAATCAGATTTCAATCTGAATAAACTATTTGTAGACTCTTCCTCCATGATTCTGATCTTGTACAGAATGCCCTTGATTTTAATGGTGACTGTTTTGGATATAAACTCCATTAATGGTGTGGAAATAAGGAATCTCGCCACGTCGAATCTCCTTTTTTTACTTGTACTATCATCTAAGGAGATGAACTTGCCGAAGAGACAGCCTACCGTCATGAAATTATCATGATTCCACGCATTTAACGGCATGCCTTGGCACTTTATCCAGGTGAACCTCTCCCTTGCCACCATAGATGGTGACCATGGTCTAATTTCCTCAAACCACTGTCCTAACCAATCTGCTGCAAGTTCTACCAGATCTTTCAATTCATCCTTGTCTCCTCCTTCAAGCAAAACCAATCTACCTCCCATTGGACGAATTTTACATGTAAAATAACCCTCCATGTAAAATTTTTCTTGCAGGAATGGTACCATCTCCACTGAGTAAACTGTCCCCACCATACAGCTTCCTAACCATTCTTCATCTTCCTTGCTTGCTTTAAGCTCTAATCCTGCCCAGTTTCTATTTTCTTCTTTAGCCTTCCAATACTGATTCCTTTTAAATCCTCTAGGCTTGCTCCAATTCTGCTTGCTCCAGCTCTGCTTGCTCCAGCTCTGCTTGCTTTGTGTCTCAACCTTTGCTTTCCCGTCGTTCTTCTTACTCCCCTTAACCACATCGGCATAACTTCTGCGATGTTGCACCTGATCTGTTTCCCTCCTCTCCACTGCAGTCTCATTTTTCTGAAAATTATATTTTGGCATATTCACCCTTAGATTGGAATTTCCCACCCTTATGCCATTCAATCGTCTCTCCAATTCCTTTTCATCCGACACCTCAAGGTATCTTACAAAACCAAATCTGCTTCCATTCCTACTTCTACGCATAGGGCTGTAAATATCAAACACTCTCCCAAAATGATGGAAAGTTCTCCACATATCTCCATAGCTCCAGTCGTCCGGGAAATTTGTGAAGAAGAAAGGAACTGCTTGTTTGTACGCCCCTCGATCATACCCCCGTGGTTCCCATTGTCTTCTACCCTCCCAGCCTCTTCTCTGCTCTGCTGTATCAGAAAACTCTCTGCCTCTTCCCTCCCAGCCTCTTCTCTGCTCTGCTGTATCAGAAAACTCTCTGCCTCT